GATTGGCCTGTCTGTTAAGACTGACAGGTAACAAGTGGATACTCTATTTTAAGAATTGTATATTTTTTACTAAACACTTAATTCATATATTTACTCAACATTTATAAAAAATTATTAATCTTACAATTGCTACACCATGTGCTTCCTATTTGTACTTGATTATATTAATTTTTAAATATTGTATTTTATATAATAATTTATTTCTATAACACATTAATATTTATATTATATACATAAACAATATACATAAATAATATTAATTATATTATGATGTAACAATTAAATAATAACTATTAATATATGCTCAAAGAGTTATGAGACCATCATGTAGATCCTATTTTGAAGTGAACAGAGTACATGTCATTATTAAAAATGATAGGATCATTTCCTTAGATGTTTTCTACATATTTTATCTTCAGAATCTGAAGTTCATACAGGTATATGCAGTCTATTTGGTATAGATTTAAATGAATGTTAAATTAAGGCAATTCAGAAAAAGAGTAGAAAAACTCCCAAATTCTTCTTTCTTTTGTAAGTACTATATGCTGTCTGAAAACTAATAAATATATTTACTGTATGAAGGAGCTTGTAGATACACAAAGTTAGGTAATCACCATTTCCTCATGTTATTATTATTATTATTTTTATTATTATTATTTTTTTCCTTTTTTTGTCTTTTTTCATGACCGGCAACGGATCGCAACCCTCAGTGTCGCGNGATTGGCCTGTCTGTTAAGACTGACAGGTAACAAGTGGATACTCTATTTTAAGAATTGTATGTTTTTTACTAAACACTTAATTCATATATTTACTCAACATTTATAAAAAATTATTAATCTTACAATTGCTACACCATGTGCTTCCTATTTTGTACTTGATTATATTTATTTATAAATATTGTATTTTATATAATAACTTATTTCTATAACATATTAATATTTATATTATATACATAAACAATATTCATAAATAATATTAATTATATTATGATGTAACAATTAAATAATAACTATTAATATATGCTCAAAGAGTTATGAGACCATCATATAGATCCTATTTTGAAGTGAACAGAGTACATGTCATTATTAAAAATGATAGGATCATTTCCTTAGATGTTTTCTACATATTTTATCTTCAGAATCTGAAGTTCATACAGGCATATGCAGTCTATTTGGTATAGATTTAAATGAATGTTAAATTAAGGCAGTTCAGAAAAAGAGTAGAAAAACTCCCAAATTCTTTCTTTTGTAAGTACTATATGCCGTCTGAAAACTAATAAATATATTTACTATATGAAGGAGCTTGTAGATACACAAAGTTAGGTAATCACCATTTCCTCATGTTATTTTAAGGTCTTGAATAGAAAACCAATACATGAACCACGAGCTGTGAAGATTAAACACATATGCTTCAAGCTACTGGTCTAATTAAATAAAGTTTACAACAATGTTAATCTGAAACATTCTTGATGATTTCCAAAATTGTTATTGTGCTGCATGGAAAATAGCCTCTTTTTTATATTTTTATTACTCCAGTATCTATAAGTAGCACCATGAGTAGGAACTATCACTCCAACATGCATTGTTTACATTTCTCTCTCAAGTCCTGCTCCATATACCTTTCTGTGTCTATGTACTTCTCCATNGTTTACATTTCTCTCTCAAGTCCTGCTCCATATACCTTTCTGTGTCTATGTACTTCTCCATCACAAGCCCAACACCAGCACAAATACATCCTAGGGTAATTTCAGGGCCTTTTCTTGGTGGAAAATGATGGAAGAATACAGAACTTATGGCCAATGGTTCTCAATTTCATGAATCCCTTGAGTAATGTGTTAAAAATTTAGACTCTTAATTTCCATCTCTAGAGATTTAATTTAGCAGATTGGAGTGGGACTCAAAAACTTGTACTTTCTCATCAGTGTTGGGATGTTAAGCATTGCAGAAAACTTCCTCATGTTTCTATTCATCCAAAGATTAAGGACAGGAGAATAAAGCTTTCAGAGAAATAATTTCAGATGAAGAGAGGGCACTTTTTATGTTTTTAAAATCTTCTTGTCTCAAAGCATCTAGGTTATAGTATAGAAAGGAAGAATTTATTGGACAGAAGACAGATGGGCATGAGAGGAGATAACCTCTTTGGAGAGGCAAGCCCCCATCCAGCAGAGGCT